ATTTCCCACTAAAAATTTACGTCTATATTAAACGTAAGCGTGCGTGAAATATGAATTTAAAGACTTAAATCGCACATGGACGAAGAACATCGTAGTAAAGTTTCAACTCCCTAGTTTCCTGGCCTCCATTTTAGCGGTTTTGGTACCAAAACCTTTATTTGGCCGTACGTCAGAACTAGACACGCATTAGAGTTAAAAGTGAGTTTCCCAGCTTAGGCAGAAAAAATCCTGAAAATGCAATCTCCTAGTTCATCTGATTTTCGAGGAAATTTCCTTCACCGAAATTACATGAGGCCTTACTTGTGACTCAGGGATCGTGAAAGCTTATTTTAAATTTGCGGGGGATCACGTGTAGGCAGGAGGCATTTCCCTAAAATTTCAGCTTCCTAGCTTTTGTGGCTCACGAATTGAAACTGTGAGACAAAACGCACCCGGATACACACATGCACAGGCAGGGGCTTGACATTAGGCGTTTTGTGCTGCTACAAAGAACATAAAAATACACAATACAAAGAACATAAAAATCAATATTAGACCTTTGCGAAGCAAAATCACCACTCGGCTTCCGCGTATACGGGATGTCTCAGAAAATGTCATCATGATGAAATATATTAATAATTACTTTCCATGTAGTTTGGGAGACTGACTCACTTCGTCTTCGATCAGATCACCCGTAAAAATGCATTATTTCCGTGGAAACTGACGCATGATTTTCCACCTTGATCCTGAGAACAATAGCGGCCCCCACACTTGCATACACGATATGATAAGATTTCACAGAGTGTACCAGGGCATACTAACTAGCTGAATTTGAATGTTATGTTTGTATGTGAGTGGGGGACATCCCTTTGAATTTTCAGCTTTCTAACCAGACGAGTTAGGAAGATCAGATTTCAGGAGAATGTTTTCTGTCTATGCTGGGACCTCGTGCGGCTAGATATCACGTACGGCCAAAGTCATTAACTCTGAAGCCGAAAGATTAGGAGGTTGAAATTTTGGAAAGATGTTCCCCGTTCGTGTGCGATTCAAAAGTTCCAAATTCAGCGTGTAAGTAGGCTTAAGTTTGATGTGCCGGCACATGAAATTTTTAGTGGGAAATTTCGCAGCTGAGAAGCGCACAGCAAAGTGTAAAACTGCAGCAGTTCTTAACTGCATACGTTACCTGGCTGAACTCCGCAAAACGCAAACTCGTACCAGCTACGTCGCTATTTATTTACATAAAATCTCTGACTGGAAATTGTGGTGCATATTAACTTTTTTGTTCAAGACAGAGGTAGCTGTCAACTTCTCCAAACAACATCACCCACCCGCAGTCAAGTTGCGAACCATTACTTTGCGTCACTTTCGTTTCGGATGTGCTACTTTCTCGGCCAAATTCTTTGTTGAGCTCTTGCGGCATCTCGATAGCCCAATCGATTAGTGATAATTCATGTGAACAGTTTTTAAGTGTAAGACAGCAAGTAAGTATAGAGAGATAATCCAGAGTACAATAATTTCAGGCAACCAAAGCTACTACCATGTCATCACACATTTTGTCTTCCGTGCCTGGATAACTGCGTAGACATGGTTCATCGGGTACTGAAATGTCCGGAATGTAGGGCTGAGCATCCGGTGCCGTATGAAGGTGTGAAAAACTTCCAGTCAAATTATACCTTGATGGGTTTCCTCGATATACATCTTCAAGCCACAGACGACAATGCTGCGCAGCTGGAAGCATACATTCAAAGGTCAGCTTTTCTTTTGCATCTCGAGTATGCCAAAACTCATTACTGACAGAAACCATGTTTTTATGTTGCTCTTGTGAAACGAACGTCAGGACTGCTAGTAAGCTAAACAACAGGCGACACAGTACTTATCAGAGCAACTGGGAAACTGTCAGCTGCATAGACCAACTATGAATTCCAGCTGATTACTGTGTCGAAGTATATGCTTGAGCGAACCAGATCGCAATCAGGTTGTTCAAACACTATCCCCAAGCCAAAAATCTCAAATCCTTGTGCCTCGGCCTTTGATCAGAGATTGATATCCTTTCAGGAATGTTCCAAGCTTGAGTTTTTCTCTCTAATCTGTAACAAATCTTAAACTTTCACAGCAAGATGTCGAGGTTCTTGGTCTAAAATTAACTTCCGTACTTTATGTTACGGCCTCATGTCTAAACTGAGACTTGAAGTGGTTCAGCAGTCCGAAATTTTTATAGCTTGCAACGACCAAATGGTTGGTCACCATGCAGCACCTATTAATGGAAGGTCGTAACCGCAACATTCGTCCGTTGCAGTTACATGCTAAACAAAGTTAAAGATGTTGATGGTGGTCGCAGCATTGCGCTTTCTTCCGTTCCTGATACTTAGGAGGATTGGATTAGCTCTAATTATGCGTTTTGTGCTGTGTAACAATCACATAACCCAGGCTGGAAGGCACCGGGCGGACCCTGCGATCATGTGTTACTTGAATTACCCAGGTCATTAACTGAATAAATGGCTGTTGCTTTACACCTATCTTTTGTGGTCACTTGCATAAATCACCATAAATTTTGCAAAGTAAGCGTGCAATTTCCATCTAACAGTCGTTCTTTAAAAGTGACCTAGTTGTTCAGTGAAAAATTTTTTCGTCAAGATTTTTAAGTGCCCGTACGTAGGAACCACGCATACCTCAAGGCTGAATTTGAAATACCTAACTTATACTTGGACAGGTAACATTCCCTCAAAATTTCAGCTTTCCAGCTTTTCTAGTTACCGAATTAGCAGTTTTTCCACCAAAACCTTCACATGCCCGTACTTGGGTACTCCACGTGCCTGGAAAGATGAATTGGAGACTTTTAAATCGCACGTGAACAGGGAACATCCACCTACAATTTCAGCCCTCCAGCTCTTCTGGTTGCTGAGTTAGTAATTTTCCTGCCGAAAATTTCATACGCCCTTAAGTGAGTACCATGCATAGCTTGGGGCTAAATTAGAAATATGAGTTGTACTTGGATAGGAAACATTCCCCCAAAATTTCAGCTTTCTAGCTTTCTGGTACCTGAGCTAGCAATTTTCCCTCTAAAACTTTCATACTTTCTTACTTGGGTACCACGCATACCTGGGGGCTGAATTTAAAGTCTTCAGCTGGCACATGCATAGGGAAAATCCAAAGTTTCAGCCCCTTAGTTTATGTGGTTCCTGAGATCGCCTTCCCGCCAATAAATTTGCATATTTTTTTAGGCTTCCGTACACGCATCCAGGCGTTCAAGGGAGATGAAATTAAAGCGGGAGGGTCGCGCATGGTATGGGCACATACTTACAAAGTTTTTGCCTTCTAGCTTGTCTTGTTCTCGAGTTGAAAATGGGTGACAAAAAGTGCGAAAACACAGACACACACACATACACACATACAGACAGCCTCTTCCTAATA